AAGAAGAAGAAGAAGAAGAAGAAGAAGAAGAAGAAGAAGAAGAAGAAGAAGAAGAAGAAGAAGAAGAAGAAGAAGAAGAAGAAAAAAAAGAAAAGAAATGTTTTCTACATAAACTGTGCCCATGGTTGGGACAGTGACTCCTTTAAAACGCCTGGGGAGTGACTCTCAGTAAGGGTGCTGACTGTAATTGAATACATAATTGTTACTGAAATGTCTCAGGTTGCATTTTAACATTTCCATGTTTATGTCTCACACAGGGCTAATTTCAGGACTGGTTCCAATGTACATTGGTGAAATCGCTCCAACCACGCTCCGCGGTGCCCTGGGCACTCTTCACCAACTGGCCCTTGTCACAGGCATTCTCATTAGTCAGGTGAAATCTCCTCATCCCTGACTTTAGCCCCCTCTACCTCATCTCCCCTCCCCGACCCCCACTTCTCTCTGCCCACTACCATGTCCCGGGAAGGAGGGGTTCAACAGTGGAAAAGAGGCAGTGTGAAAAGCCAGCTTTTTAGCTCAAAGGCGAATTATATCCACTCCTTACATCATACTTGGAGCTATTGGTAAGGTTGGCAATACATAGGAAAGTCCCAATGCTATCCTAGAATTAACATTTGAATTTCAAGAAATAGCCAACTCTAGATTTTTAACTGTCTGAGTTTTCTTTGTTTTGAGTGAGCTACCTGAAAATTTAAATTTAAACAAGTATTATAAAAGCTTTTCTTCAGCTGGCGCTCTCTTTCCCCTCTACCCTCTGGCCTCAGAAGGATCTTTGGAACCCCACACTTAAGATATCGAAAAGGAAGTCTGTGAACCACCGCAATAGGTATCATAAACCTGTCGGCATTATGTAACAGTGTCATAAATCTGTGCGTCATCACATAATTGTTCTATGAAATATTTGAGTTCTATATAACCTAAGGAGCGGTTCTAAAGCAAAGCTGCAAGTCATGCCTCTCCCTCTGTGTGTGTGTGTGTGTGTGTGTGTGTGTGTGTGTGTGTGTTCACACAAGTTCACATACATGTACAGTATGCGTGTCTGTAGAGGCCAGAGGCTGATATCAGGTGTCCTCCTCTGTCATTCTCCACCTTGTTTCTGATCTGCTGAAACTGAGCTGGCTGTTCGGGTCGATTGGCTGGCTAGTGAGCTCCAGGGATCTGCTTGTATCTGTATTCTTCCAGGGCCAGTGCTACAGACACACATTACCACACCTAGCAGCAATTCGAACAATATAATTCCATCTGGATCTGGTTGCTTCCAAGAACCCTGTGTTTTGCTTTTGATGTCAAGTTCTTTAAAAGTTGAGTTGATCTTCAGCATAGCTGAGTTCTTTACGAACAAATTGCTCTTGATTTAGTTAAAATGGGACTCACTAATTACAGCCTTGCCTTTGTGCCAATATGAACTAACAGTCAAGGATCACTATTAAAAAGCCAATGCATTTTCTCTGAGTTGCTATAGAAGGTAGGCTCAAAGTACTGGGTGTCTGATATGCTCCTTCCTTGTCTTTTCAGATAGCCGGCCTCAGCTTTATCCTGGGCAACCAGGATCACTGGCACATCCTACTTGGACTGTCTGCTGTACCAGCTCTCTTACAGTGTCTCCTACTACTCTTCTGTCCAGAAAGCCCCCGGTACCTTTATATAAAGCTGGAAGAGGAAATCAAAGCGAAGAAAAGTGAGTGTACAGGGAACTCCTGCTTCTACTATTGAGGAATTAGCAGCTAATACCGAATAGTACGTGTGAATGGCTGCTCATAAGATCAACATGAGGACTTTGTAGATGAAGGCGATGATTGCTCAGAAGAACACAGATACGGCTGCTGTGTAGTTTGACTTAGACATACCTGGCACAGTGTGCATTTGCTGGGCTCAACCAGAAGCGCCTAATCCACCCTTCTCAGAACTGTGCTTTTGTGATGAGGAGCATAGTTTTCTCTCTCTCTCTCTCTCTCTCTCTCTCTCTCTCTCTCTCTCTCTCTCTCTCTCTCTCTCTCCAGATGAAGTCAGATGTTCTGCTTTTCTTTCTTTAATCAAAGAACAGTATTTAATTTAACCAGAGAAGAAGAATTGCCAAAGAAAGGGGCGTGCAGATCTGTAGCACCTTTGTGACCAGAAAAAAAAAATTTATTTTTGTCTGACCTGGGTTGTTTCAACCTGTTTTGGGGGATCAGGCTTGAAGAGACTAAGAGGAACTGAGGATGTCACCAAAGATATTAATGAGATGAGAAAAGAAAAGGAAGAGGCATCTACGGAGCAGAAGGTCTCCGTGCTACAGCTCTTCACAGATTCCAGTTACCGACAGCCCATCATAGTGGCACTAATGCTGCACATGGCTCAGCAGTTTTCCGGAATCAATGGCGTAAGTTTAAAAACTCCTGACATTAAGCGAGCAAAGGGAGCCGAGACAGAAAGAAAGAGGCTTAGGTTTAAGTTACTAAAAGATATTTGTAAATGCTGACATCAAGTATTATTATAATATATGCTTGGTAGTACTTGATTTCCCTTGATTTGCTTCAATGGTTCTCTAAAATTAGCTCAATATTTTAAAATGTCAACAATCAATTGAACTTTGGGTCCATTAAGAAGAAGGCGATGGGGCTGGCAGATCACTACAATGTAAAGATCTGAATTCAGAGCCCCTCACCCATATACAAAGGACCTACATAATTGCACATCAGAGCTTGTGTTTTGAGATGTGCTGATCCCTGGATCATTAGCATACTAGGCCAACCAATCGGTGAACTTCAGATTCCAAGAGACCTTGTGTCAAAAAATAAGGTGGAGAGCGATTGAGGAAGACATCCATCATTAACCTCCTCCCTTCACAGACGTGCATGCACACTCAAGTGAACACATGCACAAATGCAAACATGTACACATGCATATACCAGACAAGGGAGGTGGGGTAGAAGTGAAAGGCAAAGTCTATAACAAATGCACAGTGAGAAAAGAATACTACTTAAGCTACCAACCCCCAAACCTAAATTAAAAGGTTCTTAGAATATGAAATCTCAGATTTCTAATAATTTACACAAAAAGGAGTTCACAGTTCCATTTGGATGGTATACTTCAGATGGATAAGTAGGTAGGTAGGTAGATGATAGATAGATAGATAGATGACAGATAGATGATAGATAGATAGATAGATAGATAGATGATAGATAATTAGATAGATAGATAGATAGATAGATAGATAGATAGATAGATAGATAGATAGATAGATAGATAGATAGATAGATAGAATTGTTATACACACCAGTGAAAATATAAAATTTGTATTACTTTTTGGTTACTGTTGGGCAGCATCTATATCAAAGCTGAATTTATAACAGACATTATGATTCAGTGATTCAAATTCTGGGTATAAATACTCACATATTCCATCAAAATAACTGCTAAGAGTGTATATCTTCCAGGAGTGGTAGCACATGCCTTAATCCCAGCACTTGGGAGACAGAGGCAGGTGGATCTCCATGAGTTTGAGGCTAACCTGGTCTACATAGTGAGTTCCAGGTCAGCCAGGGCTACATAGAGAGATGCTGTCTCAAAATACAAGAACAAAAAGTATATACCAAAGCAGCACTATTCAGAAACACCCTAAAAGAGCAGTCATCAGTAGAATGGGTAACTAAAGTGTAGTAATGCAGGTATATTAGCATACCACATTTGGATAATGAAGTGTCCAAAAAGGTTCTTCATGGAGACAATGTCTAGCAAAAGAAGTCAAAACAAGAGAGTGTGTGTGATGCATTAACATCAAGTACAGGACTTGGCAAAATTCATCTATCATGTCAGATGTTAAGTGAATGATTCCCTTAGGACAATGGATAAAGGGATGGAGGGGTTCTGCAGCATCAGAAATGAGTTAGTCCTTTACCTGGGTTCTCTTTACATGGTTGTTATCAGTTTTTAACACAATGGAGCTGTTCGCTTATGTGTACATGTTATATGGTTATACATTAACAAAAAGTTTAGAAATTAAACAAATAAAGGAAATGAAGTAGTGGAGTTTTCAGCTAAAGCCAAGAACTTTGAAGCAACCAGGAGCTTTAAACACTGAAGGAAGTCTTGTCTGAGGAGAGGGTGGGGTAAACTTTAGAGGATTCTAGAGAGCATGGTTCCACAAAAACTAAAAATAAGCAGCCATATGTCTTGCTCTGGGGACCTCAGCTGGAGGCCCCCCTTGAGATGGCCTCTTCTTATCCTGCAGATATTTTACTACTCGACCAGCATTTTCCAGACGGCTGGGGTCAGCCAGCCAGTGTATGCCACCATAGGCGTGGGTGCCGTCAACATGATCTTCACTGCTATCTCTGTAAGTCACTAGCCCGTGTATGCCACCATAGGCGTGGGTGCCGTCAACATGATCTTCACTGCTATCTCTGTAAGTCACTAGCCTGTGTATGCCTCCATAGGCGTGGGTGCCGTCAACATGATCTTCACTGCTATCTCTGTAAGTCACTAGCCAGTGTATGCCACCATAGGCATGGGTGCCGTCAACATGATCTTCACTGCTATCTCTGTAAGTCACTAGCCTGACGAGCACTAGGCCCGTTCTTGGCCCAGGAGTGCAGGTGGGATGGTGGCTTATGGTTACAGTATCAGCAACTTTGTCCACGTGCATTGTGTGTGAACAGATAAGTGAACAATGGGGAAAGTCCTGTGCATGCACCAGCCACTGCTCTAAGATGAGGCTGGCTGGGATGGTGAGTCACTGGCTCTCCCACTGTGGAGGGTGCCAGCCATGCATTCATTTGGTGAATTAATAACTCACTGGCAAGACTTTCTCTCTCTGTGAGACTCTAGGCTCTGGTTCTTCTCTATTTAAACAGCTCAGGGCCGGCTGACAGCTTGCCATCACAGCAACATTGGGCACATTCCCTAGCCTCTCCCTGACTGGTGGAGAAATTTCATCCTGGTATATTGGGGAAAACATTTAAAAAGCTAATAGATAACTAAGCTTGTAAACAGAATTAAACAAACTTGGCAAATTCCTATGATGTTAGATCACTGGTCAGAACTTCCAGGCAGTTCACAAGTAAATACTCCTGGTGATACATTCCAATATGTAATAAAAAATGAACTTTCATTGTCTTCCCTATTCCAACAAAAGAAAGAAGTTATTTACTTTTTTAAAGCCAAGGACTAGTTTGATATTTTGACATAATAAGAAGTCTTTGTACTTCTCAACTAATGAAATTCACTCAAAATGAAACTAACTTGACAGATTCTTACCTTTGAATACAACATATTCAAATGCTTTTGAGTTTTAATGTTGGTCGGAATACTATAATCAGCTTATTTTGCCACTTGGTTTCTTGTTGTCTGTATATGAACTTTAACTATTACCTTGGGGTGGCCAATAAATTACAGGCTGGCTCCCCAGACCTCGTCACACAGTGCTGGATCTTGGAGAGCAAAAGGAGGGTAAACCAAACAGAATACTGTGTTTATACACTCTCCACTCCAGAGACAGCACCATCCAAGCCAAAGGCTGCTGCAATCAATAAAGGCCACTACTGGGGCACAATCCAAGGGACTCTTTGTCCTTTTTTCTCCTGAAAATGGTATTTTTTACAAAATAGACATTATTATTAAAACATGTTGCTTAAAATAGGATTTGCTATATAAAGCATCATGTTGTTAAGATTGGGTAACTCAATTTGTGAGGAAAAAAAAAGAAAAGAAAAAATTGTGCAGAGTTTTATTTCTTCCCTCAGTACCCAAACTCATTGAGTGGAGGAGCAGTTTAATCAATAATTATTATAAATTATAAACATAATATGCATCTTAATTGTTTTGAATATGGAGCATTTTGAGTTCATTCTTTTCTTTTACAAAGGTCTTAAACTAAATGGCTGACACACAAGAAAATCAGTTCTAATCACTTCATTAGAACTCCACAATTTTAGAAAGCATTGAAGTGTTTGACTTAGGTTTTCCATATAGTGGTAGTAGACACTTGTGATCCTAGCACTCAGGAGGCCGAGGCAGGTGGATCTCAAGTCCATGTACAGCAAGGCTCCATGCAAGACATTGTAGTAAACCAAACCATAACAAAGCCCAACAAAGGAGATTAGTTTTGTGTCCCTGAACTTGAAAACAAGTTGTGCAGAAAGAATCAGCACTCGTGGATTTTTTTTCACTCACTCAGGAGCAACATAAATCATCTAGCCCATTTTTTCTGAGTGCTTGAGAAACAGAGACATTCCCAACTACACTGTGAATGATGTCCCGGCTCTATGCTTTCATCCGTAGTGATGAGCTGATGGAAGGGCGCTTATGATCTTGAGAAAAGAACAAAACAGGAAAAAAGAAGGGGGTACTGGGAGGCAGGATGGCTCTTGGAGCAAAGCAGCAGCTGCGCAACTCCAGCAAGGCACCAGCACCCAAGGGATGTGCAGACTCGGCAGGAATGAGGGCTGTGGTCCAGCAGATGTCCCAGTACTGGACCCTGCTTCTCCACTGCTCATGTGCATTTGAGTGTCACCTAGCCTCCAGGAGAGAACGCAACTCAATTTTCAACACACACTTTTTTAGCTTTTATTATCCAGTTAATGTTTTTCATAGACAGAAGAAACAGATATTCCTGCAGAAATATTCCTGTTTTCTCATACCCTGATAATACTATGTCAACATCATGTATCATTCCTCTAGCTTTGAAAGAGCCAAAAATGTATGAGGGCTGGAGAGATGGCCCAGTGGTTAAAAGCACTGAGTGTTCTTCCAGAGGGCCTGAGTTCAATTCCCAGCACCCCCCACCCATCTTCTTAGCTCACAACCACCTTTAACTCCAGTTCCAGGGGACTTGATGGCCCGCTTCCGCCTACAAGCACTGTAGGAATATGATGTGCAGACATACAAGCACATAAAGCACCACATATGTAAAATGATATAATTTTTAAGAAATATATAAAAATGTTTTTCTCACTTATTTCTTAGTAAGTAAATGTAGGTGCTCAGCTTGTCGTCCTTTCTAGAGTGCTCTGAAATACAGGTCTGAATGCGCCTCTGAAATAAGGGCTTTCACTGCAAGTGAAGACCAATGCTCCACAGATGTCTGTAGGCACAGAGCTCAGCATGCTATGGGTGTTGGTTTGCTGTTGACTCACTTAGATTGATGAGCATGGCCAGGTTGCTCACCAAGATGGGAAATTATGGTGTGTGTGTGTGTGTGTGTGTGTGTGTGTGTGTGTGTGTGTGTGTGGCCAGTGTTGACAAGGTCCCAAGGGTCAGCTCTAGTCAAAAAATGTTGATCTTGGCTAATAGTCAATCTTACTGATTGATGCAGAGAATCATAACTCAAAGACTGAGGACAGGTCTCCTCGGTCACCATGAAGAAGCACTGTAACATCTTGCTGTGATGTCTTCTCTTTCCAAATACACAGCAGTTCACTCCCACCACAGGTATGTGTAAGCACACCAGGGAAACACAGAGCTCACTGTTTTGGTACAGTGATCAGATTCACTGTACATCCTCAGGTAAGCAGTCATAACCTGACTTCATTCAACACTGAGAAGCTGGATGAGAAAGGTTGACATCTGAACAGCTATACTGTCTCAGATGTCTGTGGCACATGAAACCTGGTAATGATTAAATGAGCAAGTCAGAAACAGGGTCACCGTTTCCTTTTTAACAGCTCTTCTCCTTGAATCCAGGGCCTGTGCCTACGAGGCAAGGAAGCTGCCCCTGAGCTACCACCCCAGCCCTGATAAATGTAGATCTTTCACAGCTTCATTGTAGAGATAGTCCTGTGAGGCACCAGGATGTGTGGCCTCTCACTCCTGAATTCAAAGGGATGGCCCCAGAGTGTTGAGAACTTCTCAAATCAATGTGGTGAAATGAAGGCCATGTTTAACCACCACTGTCTACCGAGCCTAGCACCATCATCACACACAAGTGTCACCTCACCTCAATTGCACATCTGTAAAATGGGGCCACAGCACTGTCTCCACCCCACTCACTACATACAATAAGACAAGCTCCTTACTGGGAAAGTGTACAAGTACAGAGACAGCATTGCTTGGCACAGGATACTGAGATGATACGTTAACTTCCTAGGTACTGCTTGTGGAGAAGGCCGGGCGGAGGTCCCTGTTTCTAGCTGGAATGGTTGGGATGTTTTTCTGTGCCATCTTCATGTCCGTGGGCCTCGTGCTGCTGGTGAGTTTGCTCCCTGGCACAGGCAAACCTCTCTGGCCTCCAGGTTAGAGAGCCTTACACGTGACAAGTGCTGGAGACTAACTTATGAAATAAACGAAGAGGAGAAATGGAAAGGAAAGGGGAACCATGCTCTTGGAGTTAGAGACTGGAGTACCAGCATGCCACTTCCTGTCCAGGGCGGCAGAATTGCTGCACGGGGGGGGGGGGGGGGGGGGGGGGGGGGGGGGGGGGGGGGGGGGGGGGGCTGCCTGAGGGTACAACCATGGGCGCATCCCCGAACCTCCCTCCTAGCCTAGCGTCTTCACCCTGCACTTCACAGGGAGTCAACCCTGTCTGGCCATCTTGGTAGAAGATCTTCTTGATTGTCACAGGGAAAGACTAACTATGGAACAAAATTCAAAAAGCCCTAATGCGAGGGATTGGCTGGGCAGGGGCTCCAAATACGGAAGCAAGATTTGGGTTGGACTAACTTGTTTCAACCAGAGTAACTTGAACTTGATAAAAAAAATAAACACGTCAGGTTAGAGAGCTGCGCCCAGCTCTGCGCTCAGCCTGAGAGAATTCAGAAGCTGCTAACCTCAGGGAGGCTGCAGCCGACGGCCGCCTGTCCCACTTACAGCTTTCTCTTTGTCTCCAGGACAAATTCTCCTGGATGAGTTACGTGAGCATGACTGCCATATTCCTCTTCGTCAGTTTCTTTGAGATCGGACCAGGTCCAATCCCGTGGTTCATGGTTGCTGAATTTTTCAGCCAAGGACCCCGCCCCACTGCTCTGGCCCTGGCTGCCTTCAGCAACTGGTTTTGCAATTTCATTATCGCGCTCTGCTTCCAGTACATCGCGGTAAGCACCCACACTGTGCAAGCCCGGAGGACCCCGCAGGCCGTGCAGCTGCTGACCACATCTGTTTGCTCTCCTTGCAGAATTTCTGCGGGCCTTACGTGTTCTTCCTCTTCGCTGGGGTCGTCCTGGCCTTCACCCTGTTTACATTTTTTAAAGTTCCAGAGACCAAAGGAAAGTCTTTTGAGGAAATCGCTGCAGAATTCCGGAAGAAGAGTGGTTCGGCCCCACCACCCAAAGCTGCTGTGCAAATGCAATTCCTGGGGGGTTCGGAGACGGCCTGAGGGTGACTGTCTAAAGCCCAGGGACAGAGAGGGGACCACGGGGTCCCTCTTAACCAACCCCCTCAAGAGTGTACGCCTACACCCAAGAGTTTTGTTTTATATCTTTTGAAGAATTTGTAGACTGATCGGAAATGTCAACAAATATTGCTAAAGAAAGTATATTTTTTTAACTTAGAGAATCTATTTTTTTTGACGGTAAAACGCCTAATAAAGTAAACCAACGGGGCTCTTGTTATTTTGGTACTCTACAGGGAAAGTGTGTTACGATCTTACTAGCCCTGTCCGTTTTTTTTAAAACTGAAATTGAAGTGCTTTTGATATAACATATCATTGCTTTTTGAAGCATGTGACTACTGAAGCTACAAGTGATATCTATATATTTAAACATAATTAAATTGGAATTTTCTTAGTCATAGATCTGACACTAAAGGACATGGCTGTGTCCGCAAGGCTCGTGTTCAAACTGACATTACTGTTATCCTTCCTCGGCCTCTCTCACTGTATTAGCGTTTGTGTTTTGCTTAAAATTATTTCCCCATATTTTTATATAGGATAGCTGAGTATGTTAAACTATATTTGTGATGAAAAACTATTTTATGGCTACCAAAATCTTCCTATAGTAAGAGAAAATATTTTAGTTTCTTTGATGTAGTTTGTAACTAACACTCGTCTTTCCTAGCTGCAAAGCCTAGATTATCAGTTAATATTAGCGTCTAAACCAAGTTAGTTCCTCATCACTTCAGTCTTTTGTGCTCTACTTCTTTTTTTTTTTTAATTGCCCACTAGTGTTTTTGTCTGAGGTGTTATAAGACACACTTAAACCATCAGGAGTCAGGCATTTTGTATCCAAACTCTTATAAACTGGATCAATCTCACAGGGAAATTTGGAGTAACAGGTTGCTCTACTTGTTTTAAATTTTTTTTTAAATTAAGATTTGTCAGAAGTTGATTTTCAGACCTAATTTAAAAAATCCCTCCTTAATTTCTCTGGAAATACCAACTGGGCTCCCTGGCTCACAACAGTAATTCATTTTCAACTTTTTCTCTGTCTTGACCATGCACAGGTCCTTTCTTTATAAACTACCCTGTTGTTGGCACTGACATCCACTGTGCCCTCATGTGTGTGGACAGATTGGAAATACTGTCCCTAACTACAGTTAGGGACACACAGGCAACCAAAATGTCTCCAAGCTGTTTTCCCTACAAAGTAGAGCAGGAGAATAACCACTCATGGATGGCTGGATGGCTGGATGGATGGATGGATGGTTGGGTGGATGGGTGGATGGATGGCTGGATGGATGGATGGATGGATGGATGGATGGATGGATGGATGGATGGATGGATGGATGGATAGATGGATGGATGGATGGACGGACAGATGTATGTTGGTGGAAAACTATTAATTTTTTCACTGGGGGATCAAGTCATTGTTTCACGCAGCCTAGTCTGGGCTCTTGAACTCCTGCCCCTACTTCCCAAGTGCCAGGATTACAGACCTGTGCCACCAAACCCACCCAGTGAAAAGCACCTGTAAAAAAGGTACTCCTGACACATGGAAAACCTCACTGAACACATCTCTTTTCCTCCTTCCTGTCTCTCTTCCTTCCTCCCTCCCTCCTTCCCTCTCCCTGCCCCATCTCTCTATTTGTTTAAGAAAGGGTTTGTGTAGTGATCAGTGATCTGGAATCCCTGTGTAGACCAGGCTGACCTCCAACTTGTGGTAATCCTCCTGCCTCTGCCTCTAGGGTGTGGAATTACAGGTGAATGCCACCATGCTTGACTCTTTCTTGTGCTTTGTTTGCTTATTCTTGGTCAGACTTGCTCACATACATGCAGTCCAAACCAACAGGAAATTATTTCTATCTTTTTTTAACTTTGATTTTTTTTTACTCCTTTGTGGACAATTTGGGTGACTTTTTTTTTTTTAACTTGAAATTTCAGGAGCCAACCAAAAGTAAGTTTAAGCTGTGGAGACTTTTTGCTAGGCTCTCTCTCTGTGAGGCATGGTTCTAATCCTCTACTGCATTCAGAATGCTGACAGCCTCTGGGAAGCTCATAAGTTCCAATAAGTGGTACAGGAGCTGAATATTTTACATGGATGGATGTGCTCTCTATCAAATCATGGTCCCTGCCCCATTCTCTGAGAGAATAAAGTAATAAAGTTTTTCAAAGGAATCCCAAAGATCACTTTTAAGTTGTAACTACTTATTTTTATCTGACCTCAAATTCAAGATATTCCAGTCCTCAAGTTTTCTGTCTCAGAAATGAAAGTATCCTACATTGTACCCTGGCTAAGATGGGTATTCCCCATTCACACTGCACATCTCAAGACCAACAGATGCTCAAGGCCTTAGAGAAAGTGAAACATCCTCCATAGATCCTAAATCATCTCTAAATTTCCTAATAGACAATGTAAACACATGCAAATTGTCACTACGCTCTATTGTTTAGAGAATACTGCTGAGAAAAACATCCGTGCATGCTCATTGCAAATGTAATTTAAAACTCCATGTGAGGATGCAGAGCCATCACTATCAATGATCAACCCTATTCATGTGCTGAGGAAACAAAGTGAATAAAGCTTTAAATGATGGTGACCAATGTACCAGTTAACATAATCAAAAAAGAAAAAAGAAAAAAAAAAAAAACTACTGGCCTTCAATGGTAAACCACAAAGCTGCCACTACTTACATTAATTCCCAGGAAAATTAGATGTGATTTTGAATGTTCAATTTGAGGTATCATTTTTGTAATGCTATTTTCATACTCTACAGTCTTTACAAAGGTGATTTTTCTCTCACCTTGTCTGAAGTACAACTGGACTTCTTGGTCTGGCCACATAACTGTTGCACCTCATTATTGTCTGCTGTCTGGGCACCCAAGAAAGGGTTTTGTCTAAGTTTCTATTCCCAGCCTTCCTGGGCACAATCCACTCTGTAATATGTTCTGAGCTGTAGTGAGACATTGTTCACACACTTTATGGAACTTACCGTCCAATGGAGACTTAAGAACAAGGGAATCCATGACCCATGCATGCCTTTCACTTTCCTTCAGATGCATTCACTGAAGGTACGTGATATCATCTCCTACTTCAGCACACAGACCTGAGGATCAAATATAGAACTATAGGACCTAGGATAGAGGGGTGCTCCACAATGGTACTTAGAACTGGTGTTCACAGAAATGCTGCCGAGATAAAGACTGTGACATAGAAGACAGATCCAGTTGTTCTTTTAAATAAATGGAATTTATGAGTTCAAGATAATATTTTCTTACTTCAAGGGAAAAATATCACAAGTCAATGATAAAATACCATGGAATCTAACTTAAGAGTTTTTATTTTGTTTTTAAAACATGTTTTTGTCTAAGTTATATTACATTAAGTGGTCTATATGTAATATTATTTCTTTGGATAATATTAAATACAAAATAAAATGCTGCATATTGTATTTAAATGTTATATATATACATACATGTATATGGATTACAATCGCAGGACAAAAATCAAAGCTTGTTGATAATTCCTTAAAATTGTAAAAATGTTATTTACCAGTGTGTATGTGCCAAATATGTTTTTTTGTCACCTTGTTGCACAAGCAGCAGATAAACAATTGTAAGGCAATATCTGTGCATCCAGTGTCCTAAATGAAGACAGAGCATGAAGTGTGAGCTACATGTTCCCAAGGTTTCCACTGTATTCTACATTGGGATCAGCAGCAGGAGAGCCAGCCACTCTGATCCCTCTAACGGTGTTTGTATTGATTTCTAACTTGTTGTACATTTTAAAAATTATCATAAAATGAAACTGGCCTTAAGTTAGAAATTTACATACAACTAATATTTTTTGCCCATAAGTACATTTCTGAATGCTTGGTGCTGCTTTAGTTTATATGGAAAATACCCACGCTAATAAAAAAATTAAAAATTATATTGATTAACTGTGAATTTTTTCTCAAAGTATTTTTCCTTACTCTTATTTTAGGGATAAAAAATGAACTATTCTTTAAGCCCAAATCTTCCTTCCACCTGGCAGCCATTTTGTCTTCAGTTAGGACAAAAACTGACTTAAAGGCTGGGGGTGGTGGGGGAGGAAGGATGGCTCCTTTTGGTGAAACACATTAATTCAATAACTTTATCTGAACTCTTGTTATGAGCAGCGTGTTGTCTGAGAGGCCTGTGAACTGCACAAAGACTGGAGACCGTGGCTCCCCTTTGCAGGCAGCGGCACTCTCCTCACAGGGCTAAGGCTCACAGCCACAAGGTTCCGTGTTATAAATAAGGGCAAACAGAGGAAAAGACAAGCTGGAACCTTCAGGCTTCTAATGTGACATCTTCAATTTCTCATCTTACGTTTAAATAAGTGACAAGGATGCAACTTTCCAGAACATGGTGTATATCGCCATTAAAGCTCCTCTTCTCAGGGCTGACAAGACGCCCCATGAGCCTGAAGATCTGAACTGTATTGCCAGAGGTCAGGTAAAGGGGAGAACCAACTAACAAAGCTGTGTTCTGACCCCCCACACACACCCGCACATACACACATGCTGTTTGTTTATGTGCACAATAGATATATATATATATAGAAGTAAGTACTGTATCCTATTCAATGAGATTCTAACATTAGTAATTTGTTACCATCAATGACTGAAAAACAAACAAGAAATCCATGTACATAAACACGCTTTTCTCCTGTCTCTTTTTTCATATTATGCTATCATTGTGAGGACTATGCACAAACTTTTCTCTAACAGCTATAAACTTTATTGTATTTTTATTACCACTTCGCCTTAACTTATTTCAAAATATTTTTTAATATTTTGCATATGATTATAAATAACTGCAACAAAAATATCTATAATTTTAACTTTAAAAATCTGTTGTGTCAACCCAGAAAGACAGTCATGGTATGTACTCACTCATAAGTGGATTCTAGATATAAGATAAAGAACAATCAGACCACAACCCATAGAACCATGGAGGCTATATATATAGCATGGAGGTCCCTAGGACAACTGTGGCTTATAATAAATATTGGTTTTACTCAATTATTGGGAAAAAATAGCCAAATGAATGGAAACACATGAACTATAAACCAAAGGCTGAGGGGCCCCCAGCTGGATCAGGCCCTCTGAATAGGTGAGACAGTTGATTGGCTTGATCAGTTTGGGAGGCAAATAGGTGGTGGGACCAAGTCCTGTGCTCATTGCATGAGTTGGCTGTTTGAAACCTGGAGCTTATGTAGGGACACTTGGCTCAGACTGGGAGGAAGGGACTGGACCTGCCTGGACTGAGTCTACCAGGTTGATCACAGTCCTTGGGGGAGGCTTTGCCCTGGAGGAGGTGGGAATGGGGGGTGGGCTGGGGGTAAGGGGAGGTGGTGGGAGGGCGGAGAATAGGGGAACCCGTGGCTGATATGTAGAACTGAATGGTATTGTAAAATAAAATAAAATAATTAAAAAAAATCTGTTGTGTCTACAAAGAAAAGTGTTAAGCCATTTTTTTTCTGGATTGTGTTGGTATGTATGGTTATTACCAAATGCAGCTGTTGAAAACCCATACTCTTGACAAAATTAAACTTATCAAATCTTCAGTTGTTTTCCAAATTTATCTCAATGAGAAGTATTAGGAGTTAGGGGTGTGGCCCAGTTTTTTAGTAGCAGTTTGGCACACACAAAGCAAGCATTATAGAAAAGAAATATGAGGGAAAGGAATGAGTTTATGTATTCTTGTGATTATTTTGGACAATCTTTTGTCTCCTTTTTGCTCATGTCTAGTTCTGACTTCACATCTCTTTGACTACTAGGTAAAATACATGAACTGTATTAACTCAGGAGACTACTAGTTTCTATGAACCCAAACCTACTTTCAGGTAGTCTAGGAAACCTCCACCAGGAGGTTCCCTTCTCTGTTGTAACCCAGTGTTCCATCAGTGAAGGTGGTGGATACACTGACTCAGGGTTTCTCCCGATGTCCCATCAGTGAAGGTGGTAGATACACTGACTTAGGGTTTTTTTCTTTTTTTGGAAACAGGGTGTCATAGAACCTACTATTGTAGAATATTATTTGAAGATGTGTTACATTCGTTTATGTTGCATTTGTTTAACTCTGTGAAGCTGTGTTACTTTGCCTGCCTAAAACACCTGATGGTCTAATAAAGAGCTGAACAGCCAATAGCAAGGCAGGAGAAAGGATAGGCAGGGCTGTCAGGCAAAAAGAATAAATAGAAGGAGAAATCTAGGCTTGAGAGAAGAGGAAGGAGGAAAAAAAGAAGGAAAGGAGGATGCCAGGGGCCAGTCACCCAGCCAGCCACGGAGTAAGAAGAAAGACAGATAGAATAAAGAAAGGTAAAAAGCCCAGAGGCAAAACATAAAAGAAGAGAAACAGAATAATTTAAGTTTAAAAAAAAAGCTGGCTAGAAACAAGCCAAGCTAAAGCCAGGCATTCATAAGTAAGAATAAGTCTCCATGTATTTATTTGGGAGCTGGGTGACAGGCCCCCAAAGAGAAAGAAAAAAGCCAACTACATCTCTGCCTTCCAAGTGCTGCGATTAAAGGCATGTGCCGCCACCACCTGGCTTAGAACTAGAATTTTTTAGTTATGATCAAATTATCTTCTCAGGTCCCTTAAGACATGTTTGTCAACCATTTAAAGCATGAGTCAAAACCAACCTAACTAAGCCTTGTGTGCTTTGTTAAGTCTGGGTTATTAGTGGCGGAAGAAAAATATGCCAACCACCAAGAGCCAGAGACGGGGTTGATAGACACCTCAGTGGACAAAGTGACTGCTACACAGCCTGGTGTGCTGAGCGGGATCCCTGGGACCCATGCAAAGGCGGGAGGAAAGAACTCCCTCCACAAAGTTGTTCTCTGACCTCCACATGCATGCTGTCACACACACACACACACACACACACACACACACACACACACACACACTTCTGTCTGTCTGTCTATCTATCTATCTATCTATCTATCGATCAATCTATCTATCATCTATCATCTATCTATCTATCTTATACACACATACAGATATACATATTCTCTGTCTTGGTACCTCTCTCTCTCTCTCTCTCTCTCTCTCTCTCTCTCT